CTCTCTCTCTCTCTCTCTCTCTCCTCTCTCTCTCTCATCTCTCTCTATCTCTCTCTCTCTCTCTCTCTCTCTCTCTCTCTCTCTCTCTCTCTCTCTCTCTTCTCTCTCTTCTCTTCTCTCTCTCTCTCTCTCTCTCTCTCTCTCTCTCTCTCTATCTATCTATCTATCTATCTGTCTATGTCGTTCTGTATACCCTCTCTTTATGAAAATTAGAAGGAAAATAATGATAAAAAAATGAAATTCAGGTAAATGAAAGTGAATAGATAACAGAATGGAAGATGATTTGATAATGACAAAGATAAAAGGTTCATAATAATGTTGACGCTAAGATTATTTTTATAGTAATGATGATATTGATATCAATAACAAGATAGTGATGAATATATGAATCGTGATGATAAAATTAATATTAACAACCAAGAACAGAAAAAAAGGAAAAGGGAAAAAAATAGAATGAACAGAAAAAAATAGATATGAATTAGAAATAAAGATATACACGTAGAACCAGTGTAAACGATAGACAATAAAGAAAACATTATTTACAGTGAGAAAAGGAATAACAAGGATAATAGAAATAAACGTCGATAATGTCATGAAATCCTTAATCCCAAAGCATTAGCGAAGATGACATGGATAAGTTGACACCCAATTCATGACAGATATCTTTTATCTTTTCCTATCTCATCTTTAATCATTTTCTTCATCTTACATATCCGTTCCTCTTTCTTAATTTTCTTACGCCTATTTCATCTTCATTCCATCTTCCGTATTCTATCTTCAGTTTTCTTTTGCCTCTTCTATTATTTCCCTTTTCGCTTTTCTTCTTCTCCCTTTTTCTTGTCTTTCTTTTTTTTTCTCCATCTTTTCCTCTTTCTCTTCTTCTTCCCCTTTGAAGCTCATTCTTTCAGAGCGAACCGATGCACTCTGCTCGGCTTAAAATATTTATTCCCCCCAATAAAATCTATCGTTAACCCAGCTGTCTCCCTCCCTTCTCTCACTCTCTCTTTCTCTCTCTGGTCTCTCTCTCTCTCTCTGTCTGTTTGTCTGTCTGTCTGTTCTCTCTCTCTCTCTCTCTCTCTCTTCTCTCTCCTCTCTCTCTCTCTCTCTCTCTCCTCTCTCTGTTATATAAATATATATATATATATATATATATATATATATATATATATAGTCTGTCTGTCTGTCTGTCTCTCTCTCTCTCTCTCTCTCTTCTCTCTCTCTCTCTCTCCTCTTCTATTTGTCTCTGTCTGTCTTGTCTCTCTCTCTCTCCTCCTCTCTCTCTCTCTCTCTCTCTCTCTCTTCTCTTCTGTATTCTCTCTCTCTATTTGTCTGTCTGTCTGTCTCTCTCTCTATCTAATCTATTCATCTATCTATTTCTGCTCTATCTATCCCTCCCTTCTCTCTCTCTCTCTCTCTCTCTCTCTCTCTCTCTCTCTCTCTCTCTCTCTCTCTCTCTCTCTCTCTCCTCTCTCTCTCTCTCTCTCTCTCTCTCTCTTCTCTTTCTCGCCACCTCTCTCTCTCCCTCTCCCCCCCCCCCCCCCCTCTCTCTCTCTTCTCTCTCTCTCTCTCTCTCTCTCTCTCTCTCTCTCTCTCTCTCTCCCTCCCTCCCTCCCTCCCTCCCTCCCCTCCCTCTCTCTCTCTCGACCCCCCCCTCTCTCTTCTCTCTTTCTCTTTCCTCCCTCCCTCCCTCTCTCTCTCCCTCTCTCTCTCTTCTCTCTCTCTCTCTCGCCCCCCCCCCCCTCTCTCTCTATCCCGCCCCTGTGTGTTGTCTCTCTCCCTGGGATAAAAGAGAACGTTAGCACCCTGGCCCGTGTCTTGACGATCCCACAATAAAACTTTCAAAGTGGTGCCTGGAGCCTGGGGAGTGGGGGGGGGGTTGGATGGGGTTTCTGGGGGTATAAAGGAGTCTTGTGGGGTTCATGGGGAGGCTGGGAATATCTGGGGGTTTGGGATTGGTTTGGGAGGTTGGGAATTGTCTGGGAGGTTGGGGAAGGGTCTGGGGTGTTGTGGGAAGGGTCTGGGGAGAAGGGTCTGGGGAAGGGTCTGGGGGTTGGGGAAGATATGGTGTGTTAGGAAGGGTCTGGGGGGTTGGGGAAGGGTTTAGGGTTGGGGAAGGGTCTGGGGTTGGGGAAGACTTAGGGCTTAGGGAAAGTCTGGAGGGTTGGGGAAGTTCTGGGGTTGGGGAAAGTATGAGGATTGGGGAATGGTCTGGCGTGTTGGGGAAGGGTGTGGGTTGTTAGGGAAGGGTCTGTGGGGTTTCGGAAGGGTCTGGGGTGTTGGGAAGGTCTGAGGGTTGGGAAGGGTCTGGGGGGGTTTGGGGAGGGGTTTGGGGGTTGGGGAAGGGTTCTGGGGGGTTGGGGATTGTATGGGAGGTTGGGAAAGGGTCTGGGCGGGGGGGACGGGTCTGGGGGGTTGGGAAGAACTTAGGGCTTAGGGAATGTCTGGAGGGTTGGGGAAGTTCTGGGGTGTTGGGGAAAGTTATGGGGTTGGGGAAATGGTTTGGTGTTGGGGAAGGGTATGGGGTTTAGGAAGGGTCTGTGGGGTTGGGGGGTCGGAGGTTGGGTGGTTGGGAACGGTCTGGGAGGTGGGGAAGTGTCGGGGGGGGTTGGCGAAGTCCGTGGGATTGAGAAGGGTCTGTGGGGGTTGGGGAAGAGCTTAGGGCTTTAGGGAAGGTCTGGAGTGTTGAGGTAAAATATGAGTAAGCTTGGGGAAGTATGGGGATTGGGAAGGTCTGGGGTGTTAGGGAAGGGTGTGGGGGGTTAGGGAAGGTATGGGAGGTTGGGGAAGGGTCTAGGGTCCTGGGGGAAGGTCTAGGGGAAGTCTTAGAAGGTTTAAATGGGTGATTCCCCTCCCCTCCCTATTCCCTTTCTCGCGTGTCTTTGCGCTCTTGCTTTGTTTTAGGGGGGTCGTCTTGACTCGTGTAGGGGGAATAATGGGGTCTTTCTCCCCCCCCCCTCCCCTTTTTATGGGGTCTATTCTCCGTCTGAGGGGTCAGTTGCCAATCTGTTATTGAGTCAGGTCTTTCAANATTTATGTATTTGTTTATATTTATGTATTCGATATAGGTACATTACCTGTGATAGAGAAAATATAGGAAGTGAAAACTCCAGAATAGAATATTTATCATTCATGTCCATAAATACCAATCGTTATATTATAAAACTATTCTCTTATCCATGAGATTTCTGGATAATAGAAATGATACGCCACAAAATGTTTTAGAAATCGGACAAACAAGAAACAAAAGGCGATCGTAGAAAACGATAAGATAAAAGATACGCCACAAAATGTTTTAGAATCGGACAGACAAGAAACAAAAGACGATCGTAGAAAACGCATGGATGAGATCGACTACTTTTTCAGAGACATAATCGACGCTTTTCTGTGTCATTTATATCCATTTGAATCTATAACATCGTGTATTGATACCTTTTTTGATGAAGATATTTCTTTCTCAATTATATTTTTTCTTTAATCTTTTATTTTCCTTAATCGGACAAACTACAAACAAAAGACGATCGTAGAAAACGTATGAATGAGATGCGACACTTTTTCAGAGACATAAATCGACGTGTTTCTTTTCATTTATTATCCATTGAATCTATAACATCGTGTATTTATATCTTGTTTGATGAAGATAGTCTTTTTCATTCATAATTCTTCTTCCTTTGTCCATCGAAAGAAATTAGCATATCGCCTCCCTTCGATAGTTAATCGCATATCTCACCTGGTTAATTAATCGTATCTGATCAGACATCTCACCTGACTAAATAATCCTCTCTGATGAAGCTAATAACTCGTTTACTTAATTACTTTTCTCGAATCAACCGGGTATTTAAGCATCTCGATTTCTCCTAATCAAATCAACCGAACATCTTCATCAACTTAATTAAGATCAATCGAATCGGAGTGGAATCTAATCTCATTTACACCTTTCTGATTGACCTAACGTTTCACCTAATTAATCCTTCCTAAACAGCCTACCTAATTACTATTCTCACCACCTCAGTTACACTATAATTGACCGAACATGGTACCTGATTAATTAAACCCCATTTATTACACCCCCAACCTACCCTCTCACCTGCGTTAATTAGCCCAATTAACCCTTTCCTCCCCCCCAATCTACTTTCCTTTCCCCCCCACCTGAATCTACCTCTTCACCTGCATTAATTAATCTAATTAACCCTTTCCCCCCTGAATCTACTTCTTCACCTGCGTTAATTAATATAATTAACCCTTTCTCCCCCTTCCCCTCCTTCTCCCCCCCCCCCCCCACCTGAATCTACCTCTTCACCTGCATTAATGAATCTAATTAACCCTTTCTCTTCCCGTTCCCCTTTCCTCCCCCCCCCCCCCCCCCTGAATCTACCTCTTCACCTGCATTAATCAATCCAATTAACCCTTCCTCTCTCCCCCCCCCCCCGCAGTACCTGAGCAAGCAGAATTAACCCTTCTCCCCCTCTTCCCCCAACCCACCTGAATCTACCTCTCACCTGCATTAATCAATCCAATTAACCCTTCCTCTCCCCCCCCCCGCATACCTCTTAACCCTTTCTCCCCTTCCCCCTCTTCCCCACCCACCTGAATCTACCCACTCACCTGCATTAATCAATCCAATTAACCCTTCCTCTCTCTCCCCTCCCCCCTCCCCCCTCCCCCCCCTTCTCCCCCAACCCACCTGAATCTACCTCTTCACCTGCATTAATCAATCCAATTAACCCTTCCTCTCTCCCCCCCCCCCCCCCGCAGTACCTGAGCAAGCAGAATTAACCCTTCCCCCCCCTTCCCCCTCTTCCCCCAACCCACCTGCATCTACCTCTTCACCTGCATTAATCATCCAATTAACCCTTCCTCTCTCTCTCCCCCGCAGTACCTGAGCAAGCAGAATTAACCCTTTCTCCCCCCCCCCTTCCCCCTCTTCTCCCAACCCACCTGCATCTACCTCTTCACCTGCATTAATCAATCCAATTAACCCTTCCTCTCTCTCCCCCCCGCAGTACCTGAGCAAGCAGACGGCCGCGCTCCGGGAGGTGAACGACTCCCGCCTGCGGATCTACGAGCAGCTGGAGATCTCGATCCAGGAACTCGAGAAGAACAACCAGAGGCTCTCGGCCGAAAGCGCGTCGGACAAGAAGAAGATCAAGAAGTGAGTTTTGGTGTGGATTTTTTGTTTGTTTGTGATTTTTGGTTTTTGTTTTTTTTGTGTGTATTTTTTTTATGGTGTTTTTGGATTTGTCTTTTCTCTGTCTCTCTCGCTGTATTTGCCTTTAAAAGCTGTCTTCTTTTCTGTTCGTTTCTCTCTCTCTCTCTTCTCTCTCTCTCTCTCTCTCTCTCTCTCTCTCTCTCTCTCTCTCTCTCTCTCTCTCTCTCTCTCTCTCTCTCTCTCTCTCTCTCTCTCTCTCTCTCTCTCCCTCTCTCTCTCTCCCTCTCTCTCCCTCCCTCCTCCCTCCCTCTCTCTCTCCCCCTCTTCCTTCCTCCCTCCTTTCTTCTTTGTCTTTCTATTTTCTCTCTTGATAGTTTTCCTCTCTTCTCTCTCTATGTATTCTGCATCTATCTATCTGGCTTGATTTTTCTCCTCTCTTCTCTATTTATCTATCTATCTATCTATCTATCTACATCAATCTATCCATCTCTCACCTCCACATCCACACTAACCACACCCTCCCTCCCCCCTCTCCCCCCCTTCTCCCCCCACAGCCTGTGCAGCACCCTCGAGTCCCTGGAAGCCCGTTGCGATGAGCTGCAGAAGAGCCTGGAGGAGGCGCGGTCGGGGCGCAGCAGCAGCAGCGAGGGAGAAACAAGAGAGGTCGATCATCTTGGACGAGCAGAACCTGCGCCGTTCCCACTCGTGCGAGAATACGCCACAGGTGAGGGAGGGACGGGGTTGGGATGGGTGGGAGTGGGTGGGGAGGGTGGGGAGTGGGTGTGTAAATTGGGGAGGGAGGGGGTTGTAAAGGAGGGAGGTGGGGTTAGGAGGGAGGGGAAGGGGAGAAAGGGGGGGCTGCTTCTGGGGGGAGGGGGGTGGAGGAAGAGGAGGTGGGGAGGGGAAGGAGTAAGAGGGGGAGGGGGGAGGGAAAGGGGGGTTAGTGAGGATAGGTTGGAGGGATGTTTACATCTTTGCTTCGTTGTTTGTGTGTATGTTGTACAAGTCCCTGTGCGTGTGCGTGCTTGCGTGTGCTCGTACGTGCGCGCATGCACAGAGCCTCTGATAGGAATTTGATCAAGGGCAAGTGAATCCTTTTTATATATTAGACAAAAATCCCAGGAAATTCCTCTATACAGAAATACCAAACCTCTGATATCTCAGGAAATTCTCGAACCCCTGAACACTTCCACTCATAGGCTGTGTGTGTGCGTGTGCGTGCGTCTGTGTGTGTGTGTGTGTGTGTGTGTGTGTGTGTGTGTGTGTGTGTGTGTGTGTGTGTGTCTGTGTGTGCGCGCGCGCGTGCACGTGCGTGTGTGTGTCAGTCTCTGTGTACTGCATGTGTCTGTGAGTGTGTTGTGTGTTTGCATGTGTGTGTGTGTGTGTGTCTGTGTCTGTGTACTTGCATGTGTCTGTGAGTGTGTGTGTTTGCATGTGTGTGTGTGTGTGTGTCTGTGTCTGTGTACTTGCATGTGTCTGTGAGTGTGTTTGTGTGTTGCATGTGTGTGTGTGTGTGTGTGTCTGTGTCTGTATCTATGTCTCGGTCTGTGTGTCTCTTCGTCTCCTTCTGTCAGTGTGTTTGCATGTATGTGTGATATAATTTTTTTTTCTTCGTCTTCCTATCATTCACTACAAGTATTTACTCTTAACATATATTCGTAACTTGCCAAGACAAACCTTACGATTGGTGTAATATTTCTCTGATTAATAGATTTCAATTATCTTTCGAATAGATTTTTTTTTTTTTTTTTTTTTTTGCAATTTCATCATTTTCAGGAATCAATCTTGAGGTCTTATATATTTAGAGTATGGATTATTGTATGAAAGATTAGCAGAATTTTTTTTTTATTGCAACCTGTACTGCACTTAGAGAAAAGTATTTTGTACTTGATAGTTTTTTTGTATTGCTAAATTTTTTGCATAACTGAATTTAATTCTACTTTCATCAGTTGAAGTTTTTATTTATTTATTTATTTATTTATTAGAAGATATTTTCCCTCAAAAAGTTGGTCATACCTATTTTATATATAGGATACCTTTAGAAAAAATACTCATTCCTTTTACTATTATGTCTCTTGCAGTACAACTCCCCTTGAATTATTATTATATTTGTTAATTTACTCTCCTACGTAAAGTTATCTTTATTACTTTTTCTTCTTATACCTTTGCCAATGTCACTGTAAAAAAAAAAAAAAAAAAACATTTCTACTTGTCTCCATTTAGGTATTTTTTTTCATTTACTCTCCTACGTAAAGTTATCTTATTACTTTTTTCTTATACCTTTGCCAATGTCACTAAAAAAAATTCTAACGTCTCCATTTAGGTATATATATTTTTTATTTAGTCTCCTACGTATTATCTTTATTACTACTTTTTCTTATACCTTTACCAATGTCACTAAAAATTATTATGTCTCCATTTAGGTATAATTTTTTTTTTAGTCTCCTACGTATAGTTATCTTTATTTACTTTCTTCTTGTACCTTTGCAATGTCACTGTAAAAAAAAATCATTTCTAACTTGTCTCCATTTAGGTATATATATTTTTTCATTTAGTCTCCTACGTATAGTTATCTTTATTACTTTTTCTTCTTATACCTTTGCCAATGTCACTGTAAAAAAAAAAAAAAAAAAATCTAACTTGTCTCCATTTAGGTATATATTTTTTCATTTACTCTCCTACGTATATTATCTTTATTACTTTTTCTTCTTATACCTTTGCCAGTGTCAGTAAAAAAAAAAAAAAAAAAAAAAAAAAAATCTAACTTGTCTCCATTTAGGTATATTTTTTTTTTTCATTTACTCTCCTACGTAAAGTTATCTGTATTCCTTTTTCTTCTTATACTTTTGCCAATGTCACTGTAAAAAAATCATTTCTAACTTGCGTCTTGCACAGCAGGAGGAAGCCCCATGCACAGTACTCCAGGTAACCCTCAGCTTGGCCTGTCTTTCAGCATCCCTCCTATATTTCTTTTCTTTTCTTCCCTCTCTGAGCTTTTTTTGATTGATTTAGGCGGTTTATGTGATTGGAGGACGGCTTAATTCTCTTTTTGGAAACGATTTTTTTTGAATACCCTAACCAGGTTGATATATATTTTTAAAATACCATAACCAGGTTGATTTTTTTTAAAAATACTCTAACCAGGTGTTTTATTTCATAGCCAAAGATTTTTTTTTAATACCCTAACCAGGTTGATATATATATATTTTTTAATACCATAACCAGGTTGATTTATCTTAATACCCTAACCAGGTTGATTTTTTAAAATACTCTAACCAGGTTGATGTTTTGGTAATTTGTGTGAGATGCTGTAGACTGTGTGTCTTAGAATTATAGCGAAAGAGTAAGATATATTCTGTTATAATAAATTTTATGTTTCTTCCGAATCTGTTGATTATACTTTCATTGCTTGAGAAGAGTGAATGAAATTAAGTTGAAATTGTCCCCCCTTTATTTTTACTCTGTCTCTTGATTCCACATTTCGTTTTAAATTATTTGTTTTTTATTGATCTTTTATTCTTCGTGTTCGTGTGATTATTTGATAATGGGATTTTTTTTTAAATATCGCATTTTGTCCAGTTTTTTTTATGTGCATGATTGCAAAGACTATTTTGAATAGGAAATTGACTCCTGAATTATTCAAATCAGTATTGTTAGAATTTTATAAGTTCCTTTATGTTGTTTCGAATTCGGTACTTCACAACTACCAAAAATAATACAAAATTGTTTCTTTTTTTCAATCCTGTAAAAACATTTTTTTTTTATACAAGTTGCTTAATACAAGGCAATGAATAATGTTATAATATAAGTAACATTATATACGACTTTCTGCTTTAGAATCTTAAGAAAAACGGATAGCTGAACTCAGGATGTGATTTTATATATCTGTATATGGAACATTTCGAAAATACTCAACACTAACTTCATCTATAATTGAACTTTAGTCTGTTCTGATCCAATATAATTGATATAACCGTGATATAACTTAATCCATTGAATAGATGATAGTTTAACTTATCAAAGCTAAACACGTTCTAAAACATTTTAAGAAAACAAACCATTTCTTAAAAAAAAAGAAAAATCTCATATTTAATTCATACGAAAAACAAACAAACAAGCAAAAAATAATCATAAAAATAAATAAATAAATAAAAGAAAAAAATACTCTGAGACACTAAAAATACAGATACAGAACTCGAAAAAACACACTTAAATATATTCTAAAACTTCTTTTAAAACTTCTTTTTTCCCCAAGAACTCGGAGGAACGAGCGGCCGAGGAACTGGAAGCCAGGTCCAAGATCGAGGAGCTGCAGGACAAGATGAAGCTGCTGCAGAAGGAGAAGGAGGCGGAGATACGCAAGAAGGAGGAGCTGGAAATACAGCTGGCATGCATGTCACAGGTGGGGCGGCAGAGGGGGTTGTGCCTTCGGTTTTCTTATTGGATAGGATTGAAGACTTTTTTTGAAAAGGTGTTGGATTTGTTTTTTTTATTGATTTTGAAGAATTTTGAAGATTGGATTAATAGGGTTGTTAATAGTTGTTTTGTTTTCCCTGTTTTGGGATTATCCATATATATATATATGTGCTCACGCATACGCACGCGCACACATTCACACACACACACACACACGAATAATTCAAATACTGTACATACTCCTCGTCTAAGGAAGCATCACCATATAATTCCCCGACACTCATCTCTTTCCACCCTCTTTCTAACACATTCCCCACTAGACTCCCCCCCCCCTTCACATTTCCCTATAGACTCCCCCTCCCCCAACCCATTTCCCTCTCGCGAATCAAGCATAGAGTGATTTTTCCTCCACATTTCCCAAAGAGTGATTTTTCCACACATTTCCCAAAATAGTGAATTTTTTCCTCGCCACACATTTCCCTCTCTCTCCCCATGTCCCCAAAGCGCGAGTTTTCCCCCCAAGACAGAGAATAAACGACCCTATTGCCTTGCAGGAAAATGCCGTCCTCAACGACCAGCTGATGATCCTGCGAGAGAAGGAGGTGAACCTGCGTTCCTTCGACGAGGAACTGGCCTCCTTGGACGACGCTTCCTTCTTGGGTCGCTGGGGCTCAGACTGGTTTCGTGGGTTTTCGTTTATTTGGGTTTGGTTGGTTGTTGTTGGGTTTTGTTATTTGGTTTGTTGTGGGTGTTGATATTGTTATTATTGTTTGATTATTTTACTTTATTATTATTATTACTGTTATCATCATCATTATCATTATTAGAAAAATAGTGTCTGGGCAACCCGTCCATCTACGACTTACAAACAGTAATTGTATTCTCTGTTATGACCTTGTTGCTCCCTCTCTCACACTCACTCACCCCGTCTCCCCTTCTCTCTCTCCCCAAAACAGCGTCTCCACGATATTAATGATTTTTTTGTTCCCCTTTTTCTCGCGGAGAGGTACCCGACCATCCAAGATATTAATTATTGTGTTTTTATCTTTTTTAAAATATTTTTTGTTGTTCCCTCTCTCATTCAATGCCCCCCCCAAAAAAAAATAAATAAAAAATAAAATTTGCACCCTTAGGATATAATTATTATTTTTTCTAGGCAACCCGACCACCTGCGACCTTAAACAGTAATTGTATTTTTTCTCTTTTTTAATTCTTTGTTGCCCCTCTCTAACACTCCCTCACCTCATCTCCCCTTCTCTCTCTCTCTCTCACTCTCCCTAGTCACTCACCCCTCTCTCCCTCACCTCACCCCTTCTCTCCCTCACTCACTCACCCCTTCTCTCTCTCGCTCACTCACTCACCCATCTCTCTCTCTCTCACTCACCCCATCTCTCTCTCTCTCACTCACTCCTTCTCTCGATCACTCACTCACTCACCCCCTCTCTCTCTCACTCTCACCCCATCTCTCTCTCACCACTCACTCACCCCTCTCTCGCTCACCCTTCTCTCTCTCACCCACTCACCCCTCTCTCTCCACTCACTCTCTCTCTCTCTCTCTCACTCACCCCTTCTCTCGCACACCCACTCACCCCCTCTCTCTCTCACTCTCACCCCATCTCTCTCTCTCTCACTCACCCCTTCTCTCGCACACCCACTCACCCCCTTCTCTCTCTCTCCCACATCAGTGTCTGGGCAACGTGGACGAGACGGCGAGCAATCCGACCATCTACGACCTCCAGGACAGCATCGAAGACACGGACGTCTCCATCGAGAGCATCCACGGAGAGTGCGCCCTCGTCCGGCTCAAAACGGCGGCTACGCGTGGGGCAGCCAGGTGAGGAGGACGAGGGGAAGGGGTGGAGGGGAAGGAGGGAATAGGGGATGGATGGAGGGGGTGGGGGGTGGGGAGGGACGGAAGGGGGGAAGGGGGAGGAGGGGGGGGGGAGGGGGGGAAGGAAGGGGGAAGGGGGAAGGGGAGGGGAGGGGGGGAAGGGAGTGGGTGAAGGGGGAGGGGGTGAGGAAACACGGGGGGGAGAAGTAGAGAGAGGCAAGGAAGAGGTGGTGATGATGGGAAAAAAGGGAAGAGGAGGAAGGGAGGGAAGGGAAGAGTAGTATCAGTCGTAAAAGAAAGGATGGCGGTGTTGGTGAAAGAGAAAAGAAGGGTGATGGTAATAGTCAAGAAGATAGTGGCGAAGGAAAGACAATGGTGATGGTGGTGGAGAAGAAATGGTGGTGATGGTGACAGGAGGCATATCTGAGAGTTGGGAGAGTGTTAGAAAGTGTTGGTGGAGATAAAACCGGTGGTGGTGGTGATAAGAAGTGAACAGGGAGGAGAGAAAGAAAGAGAGAGAGAAATGGGCAAAGGGAGTGACAAAGGAGAGAGTAAAACACGAGGAGAGAGATGGGGTAAACACGGGGTAGGGGTAGGGGGGGCGGAGGATGAGTTGACAGAAAGTAAGAAAGATTTTGTAGAATATTATATTTTCTCCAAAAGAGCACTTAAATTTACACAATGACCTCTCTTTTATACACAAATATAGGATTATATATTACGTACTGCACATAGTGTAGTACGTAAAATAAATATCAAACAATATCGCAGAATGGAGTTTTGATAACAACCATTATTTTTTTCGTTTTTTTTATCTCAAGAAAATCATAATTATCCCAGACAATTGAATGTGATTTAATAATTACCCCTGCGTAGACCACACAGACGAATGTAGACGGGCTAGAAATAATTATATGCAGATTATATTAGATCGCAATTTCTTCACTAAAATGAAAATGATATATGGTGGCACAGTTTTTTTCAGGAAGAAAAGTTAACGATAGTAAATTCTATTTGTACTGTAATAATATTATTTTCTTTTCATTTTGATTCATTGATTGACACTATTAACATGAATAAACTCACCATTTTTCCCCTTTGATATAAGTATATGTCTAAGCCACAGAGAAGGAATTTTATGCTAGACTACTGCGGTCTAGGCTATTCTGACTAGCCCGCGGAGAGCGATAGGAGGCGAGGCAGCTGTAGTGCGTCTAAGAGCAGCAGTGTCCTTTTAGTTGCTTAGGTCGAAAGTGGAGAAAAAAAACTTTTAAATAGTGCGATAGGGGCTATGTTTGATTTTTCAGTGGCTGCAGTTTTTTATTTTATTTTTATTTTAGTAATTTTTGCCATTTTTTGCCTTTATTTTTTTTTTTTACTTTTTTTTTTTTTTTTTTTGCTCTCTTAATGCGTGTTTTGTTTGTTTTTATATCTTTAGTTGCTGGCTTTTATCTGCATCTGTTTCTGTCTCAGTTTCTCGTCTCTCTCTCTCTCTCTCTCTCTCTCTTCTCTCTCTCTCTCTCTCTCTCTCTCTCTCTCTCTCTCTCTCTCTCTCTCTCTCTCTCTCTCTCTCTCTCTCTGCCTTCCAGTATCTCTGTCTCTATCTGCTTGTCTCTCGCTTTTTCCCTCCCTCCCTCCCTCCCTCCTTCACTTCTCGTCCTCTCATCCCCCCTCCCCTCGTCAGACCCTCCCCCCCCCCCCCGAGGCCCGACCCGCCCTCTCCCTAACTCCTGCTGATATTGACGTGCTCTTTAACCCTTTTTCCTCATCAGGGCGTGGAGCTCACTGGCTTGGTATCGTTCGGAATAGACTGGCTTCTCGTTCTAGTCGTTCTGCTTATATCCGTAACCGAAATGCTCCCTCTGCGATCACTGTTTGGCTATAAAACTATCTCAGGAGCAGCTGCAGGCCTCGCCAGGAAGCTCCCGGAGCGGGGAGGGTCGGCTGTCCGTCGGCCCGACCGCTCGGCGTGGAGGCCCCGTCGGGGAAGACAGGCGGTCCAATTGCTCAAGTTCTGACGTTTGCGTAAGTGTGTCTCGCTGGCGACGGCGGCGGCGAAGGCGGTGGCGGCGGCCAGGCCTTCCAGTAGGTGCTTGGGGGTCGAGGGAGAGGGGGAGGGGTGCTGTTAAGGGGGCCGTAGGGGGCGCTGTAAGAATTGAAGTAGGGACGCTGTACAGAGGCAGTAGGAGAGAGAGCTGTAAGAATTGAAGTAAAGGGGAGTAGGGCGCTGTACAGATTGAAGTAGGAAGGTGCTGTAAAAATTGAAGTAGGGACGCTGTACAGGGGCAGTAGGAGGGAGCTGTAAGAATTGAAGTAAGGGGCGCTGCTAAAGGGGGAAGTAGGGGCGCTGATAAGGGGAAAGTAGGAGTGCTGATATGGTGAGTAAAGGATTGCTATAAAGGGGGCCGTAGGGACGCTACAACGGAAGGGGGGAGTAGGGGGTGCTATTAAAGGGGGGGGGTAGTTGGAGACGCTGCTATGGAGGGGAACTGTATAGATTGCTATAAAAAGGGGACAGTAGAGGGCGCTGTAAAGAGGGAATTAAGGGTATGCTGCTAGGGTGAAAATAAGGGGCTAGGAAGGGGGGCTAAAGTTGGCCCTGGAAAGCCCTTGTCCCTGCATGCTTGTATCCGGAAGCAGCCAGAGTAGAAACAGACGCAAAACGCTGTACAGAAAAATAAAAAAAGTGGGGAAGTCTGTGAATAGACGACCCCCCCCCCTCCCCCTCCCCTGGACGACTCCCCCACTGACCCCGACCCCCTCAAAAAAAAAAGTAGAATCGCGCACAGTTGAAGATCAGCCAACGCGTAACGGAATGTTGAGAATGCAAGCCAGCAACAGTATTTTCGGGGACTTTGGGTAATCTTAGGCCAGTGAAGAGCTTCGAGTTGGTACTTTGCAAGCCTTTCTCTCTCTTCTTTTCCTCTTCTCTCTCCCTCTCCCTCTCTCTTTTCCTCCTCTCTCTCCTTCTCCCTTTCCCTTTCCTCCTCCTCTTCCCTCTCTCTTTCTCTCTTTCTCTCCCTTCCTCCTCCTTTCTCTCCCTCTTCCTTTCTCCTCCTCCTCTCTCTCTCTCCCCCCTTTCCTCCTCTCTCTCTCTCTCTCTCCCCTTCCTCCTCCTCTTCTCTCTCTCCCCCTTTCCTCCTCCTCTCTCTCTCTTCCCCTTTCCTCCTCCTCCTCTCTCTCTTTCTCCTCCCCTCTCTCTCCCCCTTTCCTCCTCCTCCTCTCTCTCCCTCTCCTCCTCTCTCCCTCTCTCTCCTCCTCTCCATCTCCATCTCCCCCCCATCTCTCTCCTTTTCCCTCTCCTTTCCCATCTCCTTCCCCGCCTTGGCTCCTCCTCTTCCCATCCTCTTCATCTTTCGTAATATTGATGTACATAGTAATCTGCAAGCTGTAATGCAATTGGTGTATCTTGTTCGTTGACTGCATTGGATGGAGGTGCATTTTGTTCCAAACAGCAACTTCTGCAGTAATTTCTGTCTTTGTACATAGCAGAAGATCAGCTGTTTCCTTTGATAATCTGTACTTTAAAGCCGCGACTTTGTAGTGTTTTTTTTTATCTTCGAGGCAAGCAAGTATCGTAGTATTGGAAATGCCATAAAGATGTACATGATTTCGAAGTAGTTGTGGATGGCATTTTATTTCTTTATGTAAGTAACGTGTTTAGATTTCGTAGTAAAGTACTGGAGGTTTGTAAGTTTCTGCGGTGCAGTTGGAGTTCAAGTTGTACAAATATTGTCGCGTGCATGGAGATATGAGAAATGTATCACTCGTAAAAAAAAGTTTTGCTCTTAAATACATATATTTTGGCGATCAAAATATATAGAGATGGAAATGGGCAAAAAGAGACTTAAAGTACCAAAAAAATACTAATTTGTGTATTTGATAACATGTCTGACCCATTAACATTCTTGTCTGACATCGTCATTAAATAATGTAATAAAAGTCTTAAGAATTGTTTCAGGATACAGAAGAGGTTCTGAAACATTATAAAAAATCCCATTACTTTAAAAATACAATAATTCACCGTATATATTAACAGCAATTCTCCCATTTCTACATTAAGATTTTACTTCTTATAGAATGCAAAGCTTTTTAAGAGTATGAACTAATGCCAGTTATGAATATAGCTTTTAGGAAGTAAAAATGATGAATCAACTGTTTGCTTTCAAACCATAAACGCATTTACATTGAAAGCCGAAAAATGTATATATACAGTTGTAGTAATGTAAAAAGTGTTGAATCTAAGGAATCTCCCTTTCACAAAAATGAGGAAGTACCAAACTCATTTCTTCCATTTGTAATACATGAATTTTATTGCAGTATGACTTCTATACATATTTTTTTCTTCTTCTTCACTACTTTACTGTGGCAGAATTTCATAGTCGATGCATTCCTTTTCTTACATAGCTATTGAAATTGAGGTGGACTTTCATAAAAAAATATATATATATTATTTTTATCCTTTAGATTTCCGTATGATAGAACATAATTATCATTTCAAAGGTTGCTCATCGCTCTCTTTCTCGGCAGGAGTCTCTGGCATCCATTGGTCAGGTGATGAGCCACATGGGGTCTGAAGGCACCTCGCCGGGCACTGAGGCCAGCGACGCCCCTCACAACTCTCTCCTGTCAGAGCTGGACACCTCATACCGCATCCTCATCGAGAAATATGAGGCCCTCCTGGAGGCCCGAGAACAGCAACAGCAACAACAGCAGCAGCAACAGCAACAGATGGCCCAGAACAGCGTCAACCAAGACGAGGGCTTGGTGCACCCGGGCGTCGACGACATGTCCGGCCCAATGAGTCTGGTCATGACGGACTCCCTGCACGACGCCAGCGCCATCACCCTCAAGTGCCAGCGGTGCCACACCTGCACCTGCGACATGAAGCCCAGCGTGACTCGGCCCAAGAGCAACATGGAGGAGTTCTCGGAGGTGGAGACGTCGTCCTCGGGCTTCTCCGACGGCGAGAGTCGCCTCAGCAACAAGTCGACGCAGACCGGCGAGGAGGTGTACAGTCAGAAGGAGATCCTGGAGGACTTGACACCGACGATTGCCAGTAGATGCTTGGACTTGAGCTCGCCCGTGAACCCCTGCGACAAGCGGTTCCAGACGGCGCCCGAATACAAGAAGCTTTTCCAGGAGATATTCACTGTGCTGAAGCAAACCGTGGATGAGAAAGACGCCATGGGGCAGCCTGGGAAACCAGCGAAGACACAGCAACTCGTAGAAGCGGATAAGAATGCACATAACAGCAAGACCTCTGCCGTGAAATCTGAAGATAACGAGTCTATCACGGAGACCATCGAGGTGACTGAAGTAACGGAAGTCAAGACCGTCAAAACCATAGTGAATTCAGAGATCCAAAACGTTGCCAGCGAAAAGAAGGCCGAGCACGCGAAGGAAACGCCATCCATTGAACGCGAGGACAAGCAGAAGGCAAACAAAGACGAAGTCCAGGGCAAAGAAGAGAGGAGGCCGGAGGTTTTGGACGACCAGAATGTGCCCGAAGAACAGCGCATCACCCACAAGCCTCCTCGGCCCGATTCCCTCGACCTCGGAAGCGGTTCCCGGCCGACCAGCAGGCAGAAGCGCCGCAGCCGGTACCGGAACCGCCTCGACTCCTACCAGCAGCACCAGCAGTACATGGGCCAGTACCAGTACTCGCACGGAAGCTCGGGCAACGAATCTCACCAGTCGGGCCACCGCCACCATAAGAGGGAGCGCGACCACAGCCAGAACCACCATCACCACCACAGGAACCAAGACGACTTCCCGACGCTGCGAACGGAGAACGAGAACGAGCACAGCAAGACGCGCATCATCTACAACTCGTCCCGCAACCGCTGCGAGCACCACCGGTCCAGGAAGCACCGCGGCCGCAGCAACAACCGCCAGCGCCACAGCCAGCAGCACCAGAACGCCAGCCAGGACCAGCAGACGGGCTCCACCCAGAGCCTAGTGAACAGCGACTCGGAGCCCAGAGGGAGAACAGCGCCCCCCAAGATCAACTACCCGTCCGTCGAGGTCGCCAAACTTCGCAAGTTGGAAATGTCTTACGCTGAAGTTCTCAAGACTTCCTTCAACAGATCCCACTACAACCATCGGCGGTACTAGGGGACATACCCTGGTACTCGCCGTGGGCTTTGTGTGAATAGTTTGTTGTACATCTGAATTACGCGTTTGTAATCAAGTATTCTTTTATCGTATGTAGTATATGCAGACAGAGGAGTAAGTGTGGCATATTCTTTGCCGTTTTATTTACGTTCCTTTGTCAGAATTGATTCATATCATTTTTGTAAATATTTAAAAAAGTGTATATACATGGGTACACTGAAGTCATTGTATGATATTTGTTTGGGTTTGTATTTATTTGTTTTATTAGTGTGCCAAGTAGAGTTTAGTAGCTTCTAGTGTATTTTTTGTATTTCTGTTCATACTTGCGTTCGAGATGCCACACTCAATTCCTCCCAGTGAAGGTCTGTTCGTTGGAGTTCCAGTTTGGCTTTGCTGGTTGTGCGGTTTTAACTGTTCTCGTCTTGGTTGATGTGGAAAAGGAACGATAAATTATGGAAAAGAAGTGATAAATCTTTACCTCCTTTAATCATCCTAAATCCTGTGCCAAATAGATGGCAACTTTTTTTTACTGCCCGATAGGATTTTACATCAAATAATGGAGCGCTGAAAAGGAGTATATTCGATAAAAAATAATAAAAAGTATATTTAACGGAACAGTTTGTAGATTGATAATGTGATCCATTATTGTTAAGAGCTATGTTGAAGTTATGTTGTTGATAGATGAGCCTTTCTTCTGACAAAGAATGTTTTAAACATATATGTTAAGACATCAAAAGTCAAAAAGCACTATGGTAAAGTATTGAGAAAGTAGGAATTCTTTATGGAAATTCATATACAGTGATTGGCTGTAAATGCACGGTGTCGTCCTCCCAAAATGATTCGTTTCTAGTCGTCAAAGATTCATCATCTATGTGTTAAGGACTTTTTTTTTAGGTCACACATTTACCCTTTTTTAAATAGTGTTAAAAAGTTCAGAACTGAAAAGAGATGATAAAAAAATGTTCCCTCGTGACAAGTGCAATATTTTAAAACATTCCAGTCGAGTTATTTTTTTCCTGATTTTGGTAATCCATTTTAAAAGTGGAGCGAGAGAAAAAAATCACCCCCCCTTTCCCCCCTCCATCTCCCTCCCTTTTGTGTAGGAGTTTGTGATAGAAGCAGTACTACCCCTTTGTAGTCACTCACATTTTATTTACTTGAAAGGAAAAAAATTGCAAAAGAAAATAAATGATTGGTGTAGTCATCGGAAAGCCATCGATTCCATTACATATTTTTAATGGTGTTTGAAGATCTAGAAGCTTCGCCAGTCTTTCTTTTGTGATAAGTAGCATCTGTGGATATCACATGCGTCACCCAGATTAACATAGAGGTCAGTGAAGTATCCTGTAGATTTCATAGGTTAAAATGTTATAAACATGTTCATGTATTTGATAAAAGAGGAAAAACATATCGTTTGATTGCATTTATAAAGGAATACTTCTTTAGGTAAAATGTCTTTCCCTTTGATTTTTTGTGAGAAAAGACTATCGTTAAACAATTACAAAAGACCGGAAAATCGGACCTCAAGAAGAAAGGAAAAAAAGAATAACAGGAAGAAAAAAAAGTTTTTGATTTAGCAAAAGCTTGACAAAAAAAATGAGTTTGTAGTTATGCATTTCAATCTCTGTTACATACCCGCTTCTAGGGAGGCTAAATAAAGCTCCATAAACCGTCTTATAGAGCTTTATATACTACTTCAGCTCTTCCCTTGTATTATACGTCATTATAAACACTTTACCTGTGCTCTTTTAGCCTCACCTTGGGTTATCATTGCAGGTAGCTTGTTATTAAGCTTATGTGCTGGACAAGGAGAACATATATTAAAAATTTGTGACTATGAATCGTGTTTCTATACCCTCATTTTTTTTTTTTTTTTTTTTTCGCACTTTTTTGTTTTGGTGTTTATGAATTTAAGTTTGTAATTTATATATATAATTATAGATAGATTGTCTCAGAGAATGTGATGAAGTAAATATGGTGTTGTGAGAGATAGATGTAAAGTAAATAAAAAGAAATATCCTAATAACCGTAGATGTGAAGAACTTGCAGTATTCTTATGATTTTCAGAAAGACAAAATTACCTCATTATATATTATAGTCTAAAAAGCTACTAGTTTAATAGAACTCAACTGTAGTAAAATATATACAAATATACATGTAATATAATAAAAAAGAAATTGTTAATCGAATATAATTGAAATGAATATTTGGATATAAATAAATTAAGTACATTGCAAATACTTTTGGAAAATGAAAAAAAAAAATGACAAAAAAAAAGAAAAAAAATCATGGAAGTTTCGCACTTATTACCCACACATCTACTGAAGGTATGTGCATCCAGGAGCATGCACAAACATAGACATCGACATTTTCACGTTAATACACTTACCTCATGATTACAAAGCAATAAACTGAATATATTGGTGTTCATATTGGAGACCAAAGTTTGAGTTAATAAAATTTAATTAACGCAGCTTGCCCGAGTTTCCCTTTTGACTCTAAAATATAAAGAACACCGCCTTAATTAAAGTCAATATTAAGGTGAAGGCGGTGTTCTTATATTTTAAAGAACACCGCCTTAATTAAAGTCAATATTAAGGTGCAGGAGAACTATAACTAATTCTCTGTACTTTTCCTAAGTTATTTACACATTTCGCCTTTTCTGCCTCATTTCCTTCTTTCATTACTTTTTTTTCTTGTCATGTTTTTCTCATTCTCTTTTATTACTTATCTTTCTTTCTTCTGCTCCGTCTAAGCCGTCTTCAAGAGGGAAAAAAATCGTGACGTGATGAAGCAACAGCGGAAGACGACGACGACAACGAACGAGACTAAAGAATAAGAATAATAAGACAGAAGATGGCAAAGAAAACACAAAGGAAGACGAAGAAAGACGAAAGACGACGACGATGACAATGACGATGATGAAGAAAAAGACGAAGAAAAGAGAAGACGACGACGACGACGAAAGACGAATGAGACGACAAAGAAGAAAAAAATAATCTAAAAGGCCAGCGATTTTACATCATTGTCACTAAACGTCACTTTATACGTCATTAGAATTAAAGATGTAAAAAAGACCGACAAAAATATGCAACATTAAGAAGAAAAAAAGGAAAGAAAAAAACATCAAACAAACCGTACAAAACGAAAAGCAAAACAGGAATTAAAATAAGAATATGGAAATAGAAATAGAAGTAAGTAATAATGACAAGAAAATAATTGTGCTAGACATCAAAGGTCATATAGCACTATGGTATTGTATTGTGTTGGGAGGGTTTTTAAATTCTTTATTACAATTGAAATGTTACGTTTCGACGGTCATTTATTGTATGATAGTATAGTATTTAAAGGAGTAGGAGATGGTAGATGGGAGTAGGATAGGTATTGATGAGAAGAGGAAGGGTTAAGGACGATGGGTGATTAGATCAAATGAAGGATATTTATGCGTCTGAGGAAGGAGAATAAATTATCAATAAAAAAGGTGGGGGATTCTGTAAGGATGTCTGACAGGTTGGGGGGTCGGGGAAGATGGGATATGTGAGGAAAAGTAAAGATACGGGATTCGGTAAAGCGAGGACAGGATATTAGGATATGTGGGACAGAGAGAAGGACATTGCATGTAGGGCATAGAGGGATGTGACATGAGGTATGAGTGAGTGATTCTGGTGTGGCCTATTCGTAGGCGGGCAATGGCAGTTTCCCAACGTCTGTTTTGATGGTAAGGAGCTGACCAAAGGGAGATTGAGGGTTTTATGGTTTGGAGTTTGTTGGTGCACAGACCTGACCAGAAGGATTGCCATCGGTTGTAAAGAAAAGTTTTGAAGTGAGGGTAGTAGTCGGTGGCTGGGATGTGTGAAAAACGGGGTTGGTGACTTGTGGGCAGGGCAGCAGATCGTGCTAAGTTATCTGCTTTTTCGTTGCCGGGAATCCCGACATGGCTAGGTATCCAGCAAAAATTCACTGTTTTCTGTCGTGTAGACAGATAGAATAGCTGGTCGTGTGTTTTATTGTCTATAGGGTTGGTAGGGTGTATGGATTGTATGAATGATATTGAGTTACGTGAGTCAGTGAAGATGGTGAAGGTGAGGAAGAGATGGAAGATATGCATTGCAGAGCAAAGAAGATAGCATATAGTTCTGTTGTACGGACGCTTGATTCAGGTGGAAGAGGAAAGCTGTATGAGAGGGAAAGACTACGGCAAAACCAGCACCTGAGTTGGATTTAGACCCGTCAGTATAGATATGAGTGCTAGAGGAGTGACTAGAGATATGAGCAAGGAAATGTGTGAGAAGGATAGAAGGTGGAATGTTTGACTTTGGTAGATCAGGGAAAATAGAGGAGCAATTACAAGAGACTGGTACTAGCCAGGGAGGGAAAGTTTGGGTAGAAAGAGGAAGAATTCGGAGATGAGGAAAGGATGAATGGGAGAGAAGAGCGTCCATACGAACAGGGAAAGGGACAGGTAGTCGTGGAGAGGAAGATAAGATGCGAAGAAGAGGTTGAGGGACAGTTAGTTTGGAGAGTGAAAATTGGTGGAAGCGAGCATAGTTTCTTAGGGACAGAAGAGCGCGGCGTCTAGAGAGGGATGGTAGTCCTGATTCAACGTATAGGCTCTCAACTGGAGAGGATCGGAAAGCTCCTAGGGCTAAGCGGAGACCGCAATGGTGGATAGGATCGAGGAGAGAGAGAAGAGAGCAGGCAGAAGAAATATATATGGCAACTATAGTCAAGGGTGGAGAGGATTAGAGTAATATGGAGATGAAGGAGTGTTTTGCGGTCTGGTCCCCAGGATAGGTGGGAGAGGGTTTGTAGTTGTCGGAGGCGATGGCGAGCTTTTCCTTTAATAGAAAGGATATGATCCGCCAAGCGAGTCGAAAATAACTCCAAGAAACTTGCCGGAAGATCGGGATTGGATAGGGGTATCATAAAGGAGGAGTGGAGATTGGGAGCCTATACGTGAACGAGAAAAAAGGATGGAGAAGGTTTTAGAAGTAGAGAAACGAAAGCCATGGTTGGTAGCCCAGGAAGAGATTGATGTTATTGACGACTGGATAAGTTGATGGAGAACTTTTATGGAACGGTCGGAGGCGAAGATGGCTAGATCATCTACATACAGTGATGAACGGATTTTTGGTGGTAAAGCGGATATTAATGTTTACAGCTATGAGGAACAGTGTGGTGCTCAGTACACTGCCTTGTGGGACACCTTCAAACTGAGGAAAGGAGGGGGAAGTGGAAGAGGCAAATCTGACACGGAAGGTGCGGTCAAAGGAAGGATTTTATAAAAACACCCATGTTTCCATGTATTCCGTGGAAACATAGCTGTTGCAGTATATGGTGCCACTAAGTAGTATCATATGCTTTTTTTGAGATCGAAAAAGACAGCAAATACTGAAGTGATTGGTGTTTCTGCATAGGCTAGTGGGTTAGCTGTGCTTTTGCCTCGACGAAATCCGAATTGGTTTGGTGATATGATTTGGTGGTATTCTAGGTACCACATCAATCTGAAATTTATCATTCGTTCCATTAATTTACATAGGCAGCTTGTTAGGGCTGTGGGGCTGTAGTCCTGGGGAAGAGTACCTTTTTTGTTAGGTTTCAGGAAAGGTAATACTATGGCTTCTCTCCAGTGGGGAGGAAAGTTTCCAGTCGTCCATATGTTATTGAATATTGAAAGAAGGAAGGATAAGGAAGTAGGAGAAAGGTGTCTTAGCATACGGTAATGTATACCGTCTGGTCCTCCATGGGTGTTGCGGCATGACTGAAGTGCATTATAGATCTCAGAAGAAGAAAAGGGTGCATTATAAGGTTCTGTAGATGACAGGGAGGAGGAGCTAGGAGTGCGCTCTGTCTGATTTTAAGGAAGAGAAATGAGGAGAAAGACGAGAGCCACTACTGACTTGGCTAAAAAAGGCCCCAAGTTCAGCAGCTACTTGAAGAGGGTCAGAGATGAGGTTATTATGAATATGGAGGACGGGGGCAGGATGAGGAGGATGTTTTCCGGATAACTTATGGATCCGCCGCCAGACTGCAGAGATTGGTTTGGAGGATGTTATGGAGGATACATAGTTTTTTCCAGCTGTTTGTCATGGAGTTACGAATTGTAATACGAAGATGGGCTGATGCTTTTTTAAAAGATATGAAGGCTGTTAGTTGACTGGGGGTGCCTCTTTTGTGTCGGTAGCTATTCCAAGCTGCGCGCTTCAGACGAAGTGCTTTTGTACATTCAGGGTTCCACCATGGAACACATTTTGTGGTGTAAGGTCGGGATGTTCGAGGGATGGTTATATAGGCTGTATTTAGGACGTTAGTTGTGAAGTATTGGAGCATTTCTGAGGTGGTAGGGAATGATGATGGAGGAATTTCAAGAGTAGATAGAGAGGTAAAGGTATTCCAGTCTGCTCTGTCAAAGCACCAGCGAGGGGGATTTGGGAGTGGGATATAGGATGTTGAAGAAAGAAGAATTGGGAAGTGATCACTAGAGTGAAAATTGTTTAGGACAGACCAGTGGAAGTCTATATGAAGGATAGGAGAGGAAAGAGAGATCTAGGCATGAAAAAGATTGAGTGCGTAGGTCGAAATGAGTGGGACTGTTGGAGTTTAGGAGGATAAGGTCAGTTTTAGCTAGAAATTGTTCTAAGGAGCGACCCCTTGTATTGATAATAGAGTCACCCCAAAGAGTATGGCGACAGTTAAAGTCTCCAGCTATTAGGAAAGGTGGTTGGAGTTGGGAAAGTAAGGTCTCAAATTCTAGGAAGTCAATAGGGAGGGAAGGAGAGAAGTAGACTGAAATGATTGTGATCCAGCGGCGAGGGAAAATCCGGATAACTGTGCAAGGTATAGTGGTTTGTAAAGGAGGTATGATATATGGTGTTTTATGATGAACAAGTATGGAAGAAGCAAATATAGAATGAGGGAGTGACACAAAATGGTAGTTGGAATTGGTACTGGAGGATGTGTGAGGAAGGTTTTTGGAGGCAGACGATAGACGGATTGTAAGAGGAGAGAAGATGGCGGAGATCAGGTCTGTGTGAGCGAAAGCCTCTAATGTTCCACTGCAGTAGAGCCATTGTGGATCATTCTTCAACTATTATGGGTGGCAATGTGTGTCTGAGAGGTAAGAGGAGGGATATCTGGGGGTTGAGGTATGGGATCAGGGGATGGAGGTGGTAGTGTAGTATCAAGAGAATCATCATGGGAAGGGGGGATCAGGGGGAAAAGGTGAAGGTATAGAATCTGGAGGTTCATCAAGATAGGTGGGACCTGGTTAAAGACATTGTGCTAGAAGGGATTCACGTGTGTATCCAGGAGGGAGTGGTAGGGATAGTAGGGAAGGAAGGGTTTTTGGTTTAGGTACGGATGGTGGAGTGGATGGGGTGTGTTGGGAAGGTGTGGGAGGAAGAGGGGTAGGGGGGATGTCAGGAGGGGGAGGATGGATTTCGGCAGTCACTGTGAATGCAGCCGGAATCTGGGTAGAGAAATTGATGGATGGTTGAGAAGGAGGGACTTTCTCTTGTGTTATACGTAGAAAGTTTCTTATGTCCTCAAGGGTTTCTGGAGGGGATTTGGGTGGAGAGGTTTGGGAAAAGAAAGATCTTTTATGGGGAGGTGAAGAGATCGGTATCTGAGAATTTGAGGGTGTAGGTGTGGGATGGGATCTGGTAGGAGAGGATGGGGTGGGGCGTTTGGGTTGTCTGATGCGACTGGCAAGGCGTGAAGTAGGAAGAGACATGGGAGTTGTGGATATTGGAGTATCTGGATTTAGGATGGAAAAAGGATTTGATTGGGGGATATGAGAATTAGAGATGGGAAGTTGAGGAGCAGGGAAAGTGGTGCTGTAGATGTATAGACCACTTGGGTAGTATGGATGGGAGTGGATTGATGTAAGGTACTGGAGTACGTTGTGATTGAAAAACCTCTTCGTCGTGCTTCTTGCCTGGCTTCTCGTAGAGTGAGTCCTAGTTTGAATCTATTTGCTACTTCACTCTCAAATTTGTAGGCTGTGCAGCCTCTATGGAATACATAATGAGGTCCGCCACAATTTGCACATGTACGTGATTGTGCAGGGCAGTTTGCACGCTCATGACCAGGTTGCGCACATAGTGGGCAGCGGGTTGTAGACCGACAGTGCTTTGCAGGGTGACCAAAACGCCAGCATTTCTGGCATTGGCGGGTGGGGGGTTGATATGGTCTTACATGGCAAGAAACCCCTCCTATATAGACCTTATGGGAAAGGTCGTGTCTACGAAAGGTAATCTTGGCAATATTGATGCTGGACTTACGATTGCCTCTGGGGAAAGAGTAGCACTGTACTGATTCAGCATCATATTCAGTGAGGCAACAAAGCAGGTAATTTTCACAGTCTGTCCAGTCCTTTTCATAGACAGGACAATCAACTGAGGAGAGGGAAACAGTTCCAGTACATGTATTAAGGGAAGGGTGAGGTAGAACGGGTATAGGTTTGCCAGTGAGGTCAACCAGGGTAGATAGTGCTTTAGCTTGAGTCTCAGATGTAACTGATTAACCGTGATCGATCAGGACTACGGAAGAAAACTTTGCCAACTTGTTTTTGGAGGCATTGTTGAAAGAGTAGGGTGTTATCTGAGTGAGGGGCTGTTGGGGGAACTATAAAGTATTGGTCCCATTTGGCTGTTTTAAACAGATTATTCAAAAAGCTTGAGGAAGTGGGAATTGTAGAGGGGCGAGGGCGGGAGGAGGAGCAAGTGGTGTGAGGTGAGGTTTTATTATGCAGGTGTGGGCGATATGGTTGAAGAGTTGTGATAAGGGAGGTTTTGGGTATAATGTGAAGATGATTGTTCAGGAAGTGGGCTGGATGGTGTTGGGAGTGAGGATGGGAGATCTTCTAAGGGTTGAGTTAGTATCTGGGTAGATGATTCAGGATGGGTAAGGTTGGCAGTAGGTAAAGAGGAGGGAGGTGTCATAATAGTGTTCTGAGCCGTGGTCAAAGGGGAGTCAGGGGTCGGTAAACTAGAGGATTCAGATTCAGAGAGGCTGTTTGATAAAGGGGCAAGCCTCAATGCCCCTAATAAGGGTACAAAATCTTCATTACTGGCCATGGAAAGCCTGGTTTTATGTGGGGGAAGGTCAACGGTCCACCCCTCAGAGTCCCTATAAGGGGTAAGGGCTAAATGATTTATCAAGGAATACCGTGCCCATGGCTCCCTGAAGCCGTTCATGACTGGCACGAGGTCAGCCTTTCATCCTTTCAACACGGCTCTTACATCTTAGGAGTTGATAGGGGAAGGGTTGGGGAAGATAAGAGAGAGAAAGAAGGAGAAAAAGACCGTGCCAAATTAGTTGAGGTAAGGGCTGAGATCCAAGGTACTCCCAATACAATACAAGATAATAATAAATAATAATAATAATAATAATAAATAATAATACAATAAAGATAATAAGATACAAGATCTCCCGCACTGGATCTCAGTCTCTGTCTCCTAAGCCCCCCCCCACGACAACAACGGGCAAGGGATTGGGGGGGGGGGTACTATTAGGAAAAGAAAAAACAAAATAGGTCTGCCGAAATATCTTTATTTGAACGCCAGCTCAAAACATATCGTTGTAACCAAATACTTCTCGAAAATATAATAAACATAATTCATAAATATCATATAAATTATAAATTCATGATAAATTAATTCGCAAAGATCATAAACCAAGACAACTTAATAAAAACCAAAGTTAACAACTGTTTATAATTAAATAAACTTTTAACTTTCCTGTCACTATAACAAATTATTCTTACGTGTTAATTCTACATGTGTAAGACAAAGACGACCGAATTGGAAATTAGACAAAGGAATTAGCCATTTTCCCGCCTTTTTAACGGTTTACGCCGATAAGCATCAACTGCAGTCGAGAAAATTCTTGTACAGTCGTCCATCGTCTCGTAAGTGGTAAATTTCAAAGAGTAAATAAATGAATAAATAATACATATTGGCGTTTTGTGTGCTTGTCATTTGTCTTAGCAATATTGTGGTAAATCAAGAGGTAGTATTAGTGGTGTGCAAAATGACCGCTATATAACCGATTAACCTGACAGATTTACGATAAATGAAGAGGATTTAATCTCTCTCGGTGCTTAATTGCTGAATATAATAGAAAATTGATCAAAACAATAACAATAATAATTAATAAGAATAACACTAACCGCAATAATAATAAATAACGCTAAAAACGAGATACCAAGTCGTGATACCGTTAACTGCACGTCAATGTCGTGATTAATCTTACGTCATTCATAGATACGTCGTGAGTATAGTGTAGGTGATCGCAGTCATTCATAAAACAACGTTGTATATGCAGTCACTATAACAAGTCGTCATATACTCGTCACATATTCGTCACTTATCGTACCTGTGTTCCAAACGTGTCCAGACGTGTCGGTATCGTACTTTCGCGGAATGTAATCGTACCTTTACCGTGCGTATTGTGCCAGATGCATACCAATAGTATAATGTCTTTCTAGACCTGTAAATATCACATGATCATGGTCGCTAATATAATTTTTGAGGTTCCACGAATCGGCATAAAAATAGTGATTTTTTTTCCAGGTAAGAAGACTTTGGTGCCGGAACTAACACTACAAATCCTCGTTGGATTCAGATAAGCTATTCTATCTCTAACTATATATCTATCTATCTATCTATATCTGCGTGTGTGTGGGGCGGGTGAGAAAGAGTTTGTGAGTGAGTAAGTGTGCGTGTACACGTGTCTGTGTGAGTGAGAGTTTCTGTATGTTTACCTGTCTATCTACCTAAAACAAGATATATCTGTACTTGAGCACTAAAGAACAGCACAAATCTCGATTGTCTTGACCTCCCGTCATTTGTAAAGACTTCTTCACTGCATAGTGTGTTCTGCGCTTGGAAGAATCCCATAGAGCTACAGGGTTTGTCAGGCATATCGAACTCAAATAGCTGTCATGAACCTCTGGGCACACTCCCTTAATCTGTCCAAGTGAAACACCCTAAGGTGGACACTAGAGAGGTAAAAAGGGCTTTGGAGTGGACCTGAACTGAGTGGACCACAACCAGTCTATGGTCGGTATTACAGAACTCGCCACTCCGGTTAACCCTGCAGTTTTGAATGATCATCCTGCAAGTGTTAACATTGATCTTCTTGGCCATAGTACCCTTGTCACCAAACCATGTTCAGTGATGTGTTGATACCAAAAGCCAGAAATCCTCAAAAAAGGAGGCTATTCGCTGTCAGGATCAGTTTCCGAACTGTTGGGACCAATAGAGATCTCATAGCCAGCTCAGTCACATCAGATTACCGCATAGAAGTATCCTAATACAATGAGAATGTCTCGCAAAAAAAAAACAACTGTGCCACATATGTGAGTTTGCCAGAACGCTTCTTTCACATCGAGATTACAAACTTCAGTAGGAGCGTACAATAAGAGAAAGCCAAAAACAAGTTTCAGTCTCAATATCGTAATATGCGAAGGTTGGAGTTGGTTATGGATAACCCCTGGAGATGGTGACCATTGCATTCACCTGGCCAGTAGTAGGTGTACCCACAAATTGTGCCGCTGCCAGGTCTTCTCATCTCTGAGAGGGCCGCCACCTCAACTCCCAACCGCTTCAGTCCCCTCGATAGACCTCGACCTCCACAGGTTTCACAATGGGTTGGCGGCTGCTGGGACGCAGGCATGACGAGTAATCCCCACTCTCATCCTGCGCCCCAGCAATCATCCTCCCAATGTCAGCAAGTTTATCTCTGGGGAGGACTGGCAAGGCGCACCTCCCTTGAGCTGCCGATTAATGCTAGAGGGCTGTGGGGCATGAGTTGGTACAGAGTAAGGGCTTGTCCACATGCCGTATTTCCATGAAAAGAGAGACATGTGCTATATGTGCTTTAGTATACTCACTTTATCTCGTTTTATGGGAACTTCCATTCACATATCTATTGTTCTACAAGAAGCAATCTACATAAGAGCTTTTATGGATATATTTGTATGATAAAAACATGTACATACGCTAAACAACGGCATTTAGTGCAAGATATTCCCTATTTTTCTAATGACTTTGGTGGTACCGATAGCTACAGCAATTGTGTGCACAGATAAATGAAAGTCTAATAATTAAAATAAACGATAAATCAAATCATAATACAATTTAAAAAACATTAACATCAATAAAATTAATGTAATAGATAAACAAATACATGAAACAATTCATTGCAAGGTAACGTGGTCGCACCTATATGTAATAAACACAAAATGAAAAATTAAAAACTTATTTTTCATTATAACTGGCTAGTTCTTCAGACCTCAGCAAATGAGACTGCAGTAAAATAATTCACATTCTTCCTTTTTTATATCAAGTCACCTGGAGGCGAGAAGCTTCAACACAGGATCAGGATGACAAATGCAGAACAAGGACAAATAAAAACGAAAAATTTCACAAAGCAAAATGCATAACTGGCCTGTAGATATTACATCATTACTGGAATCAATTAGTATTTCCAAGATATATAACTGATATTCCGCTTTTCTACTTCGGACGAGGAGATAATTTCAAGCCACTGTTTACTTATTACTAAACAATACGAGAGGAACAAGCACTGACGTTTCGAGAGATTTAAACTCATCATCAGGTTCAAATCGAAAGCTGATTTCCTCATGATTATGAGTAACAATCTTATTCGAAACATTATAATGTATATTGATATTTTCTACGTTTTACATCCTTGGTTTAAATGCCTATCATATACTGGACAATTATTATTCGTTCCCATACCTACAGTACTGTATATGATATAGCTAACACACCTGAAGTTATAGAATAATCTAAACTACAAAATGAACTCAAAGATGTAATATCAAGGCATCAACTACACATTACATTGAAGAAACTGTTCGTTCTTACTCACATATATTCTACAAGCAACTGATTTCTTTGCCTAGTCAGCCATCCCCTCTCCGTAACCTGGGAATTGCCAGAAAATTGATCGTTATATAAGTAATTACTTTCTAAGGGATCTTTGTTATTGTCATTGAAATACATTAGGAATGTCATGTACGCGCGCGCGCATGTGTGTGTGTGTGTGTGTGTGTGTGTGTGTGTGTGTGTGTGTGTGTGTGTGTGTGTGTGTGTGTGTGTGTGACAGAAAAGAGGGGGGAGGGAGGGAGAGAGAGAGGGGAGGGAGGGAGAGAAGAGAGGAAGGAGAGGGAAGAAGGAGGAGAGAGAGAAGGAAGGAAGGAAGGAAGGAAGGAGGAGAGAGGAATGGAGAGAAGGAAGGAAGGAGGGAGAGGAGAGAAGGAGGGAGGGAGGGAGGAGGGAGAAGGAAGGAAGGAAGGAAGGAAGGAAGGAAGGAGGGAGGAAGGAGAGAGAAGGAAGGAAGGAGGCAGGAGGAGGGAAGGAGGAGAGAAGGAAGAAGGGAAGGGAGGGAGAGGAGAAAAGGGAGGGAGGGAGAGGAGGGAGGAGGGAGGAGGGAGAGAAGGAGGGAGGAGGGAGGAGGAGGAGGAGGGAGAGAAGGGAGGAGGAGGGAGGAGGAGGGAGGGAGGGAGAGAAGGAAGAAGGAAGGGAGGGAGAGAGAGCACAATAGAAAGAGAAAACGAAAAATATGAGAAAAAGAAAATCCCACCCCGACCCATACACAAACCTGCATGAACCAACCTTAAAAACCCAAGCTCATCAAACGCCCTTGTAACAGATGGAGAACCCTGTATCAATCACAGATTTATCAGTGAAGAACCTCAGCCTGACGCTGTTTGTGGCTGAAAGTGGGAAGTTTGGCGGATTTGTCCCACAGTATTTCGTTCTGGGAATAACGAAAAAAAGATATGTATATGAATATATATACTCTTAAGAGAGAGAGAGAGAGAGAGAGAGAGAGAGAGAGAGAGAGAGAGAGAGAGAGAGAGAGAGAGAGAGAGAGAGAGAGAGAGAGACATCTGAGACTTTTGTGTAAATAAGGTGTTTAAATCAGAATAGAATGAAAGATTTGACTGTAAACTTATCAATTGAAAGGATGCCTGGAACAAATAATAATAATATTAATTAATATATGCAAAGCAGTAGCAAATCTATTTTTGATCACCGCAATCCAAAGAACGGAATGAAATAGCATAATGTATAGACAGAGAAAATGATTTTAAAACAAAGAAAATACAGAGGATAACACACACAGACGTACACATCCTACCCTTAACACACACACGCACAATCCTCCTCCTCACACCTACCTCTGTGTGCTAATGGTATCATTGATGGTCAAATAGTCGAAGTTGCAAGAAGAGTGCCCTTCCAAATTGAAACTCAAGTAATCAAAGCTTATGGCAGGGCTCGCTGAAACGGTCACGGTGAGGTTGCAATCAAGGAAGTTCGTGTAGGTTCCCGGATAACCTGGACTGTTGATTATGCCCACAGAGCTGGTGGCTAATGTGTCTGTGCACACTGGGGGGAAAAAGGGGGAATAAGGGTTTATTTTGCATAATGAAAATGGGGAAAAATGAGGGGGGAATTAAATTTATTTAGCGTACTAAAACATGAGAAATATGAGTTTATTTTGCCTACTAAAACACGAGAAATATGAATTTATTTAGCGTACTAAAACACAAGAAATGAGTTTATTTAGCATACTAAAACACAAGAAATGAGCTTAATTAGCGTACTAAAACGAGAAACACGAGAAATATGAATTTATTTAGCGTACTAAAACACGAGAAATATGAATTTATTTAGCATACTAAAACACGAGAAATATGAGTTTATTTAGCGTACTAAAACACAAGAAATGAGTTTATTTAGTGTATTAAAACAAGAAATATGAATTTATTTTGCCTACTACAACACGAGAAATATGACTTTATTTTGCCTACTACAACACGAGAAATATGATTTTATTTTGCCTACTAAAACACGAGAAATGCGAGCTTATTTAGCGTACTAAAACACGAGAAATATGAGTTTACTTAGCGTACTAAAACACAAGAAATGAGTTTATTTAGTGTAGAAATATGAATTATTTTGCCTACTACAAACACGAGAAATATGAATTTTGCCTACTAAATTTATTTAGCGTACTAAAACACGAGAAATATGAATGTATTTTGCTTACTAAAACACGAGAAATATGAATGTAAAATACATTCATATTTCTCGCGTTTTAGTAGGACACGAGAAATAAATTTATTTTGCATACTAAAACACGAGAAGTATGGGTTCAATTTGCGTACTAAAAGGTGGGAAAATTGAGTTTTACTTGCGTACTGATAGAGGCAAAAACTGGGTTCAATTTTTACATTAAAGTGCAGGCTTGATAAATAAATTACATACATCTTCCATTACCACTTGTTTGCAGTAATTGTGGTAACAATGTGTATTAGAAGTCGCACGGAGGGAGTCGTAGCAGAACCGGTCCCAGATTAGGAAAACTATTCGGAGAGTTATTCAGACAATTCGAAAAGCTATTCGGACAATTAGCAAAATTATTTGGACAATTCGAAAAGCTATTCACACAATTCAAAGAGCTATAAGGGCAATTCAAAAGCTTTTCAAACAATTCAGAAAGCTACATGGACAATACCAGAAAGTTCAGAAAGTTCAGTTCAGAAAGCTATTCAGACAATTAGCAAAATTATTCAGAGAATTCAAAAAGCTATTTGGACAATTGGCAAAATCATTTTAAAAATTTGAAAAGCTATTCGGACAATTGGCAAAATCATTTAGAAAATTTTAAAAGCTATTTGGACAATTGACAAAATAATTTAGAAAATTTGAAAAGCTATTTGGACAATTGGCAAAATAATTTAGAAAATTTGAAAAGCTATTTGGACAATTGGCAAAATAATTTAGAAAATTTGAAAAGCTATTTTGGTCGCTATTCAGACAATTGACAAAATCATTTAGAAAATTTGAAAAGCTATTCAGATAATTGGCAAAATTATTCAGACAATTTAAAAAGCTATTCAGATAATTGGCAAAATCATTTAGAAAATTTGAAAAGCTATTCGGACAATTGGCGAAATTATTCAGACAATTTAAAAAGCTATTCGGACAATTGGCAAAATCATTTAGAAAATTTGAAAAGCTATTCAGATAATTGGCAAAATTATTCAGACAATTTAAAAAGCTATTCAGATAATTAGCAAAATTATTCAGACAATTTAAATTCAGACAATTGCAGAAAATTTAAAAAGCTATTCAGACAATTGGCAAAATTATTCACAAAGTTTGAAAAGCTATTCGGACAATTGGTGAAATTATTCAGACAATTTAAAAAGCTATTCGGACAATTGGCAAAATCATTTAGAAAATTTGAAAAGCTATTCGGACAATTGGCAAATTCATTGGCAAAATTATTCAGACAATTTAAAAAGCTATTTGGACAATTGGCAAAATAATGAAAAGCTAACAATTGTTTCACCAAATTTGAAAAGCTATTCAGATAATTGGCAAAAATTATTCAGGCTATTCAGACAATTGGCAAAATCATTTTGAAAATTTAAAAAGCTATTCAGACAATTGGCAAAATTATTCAGACAATTTAAAAAGCTATTCAGACAATTGGCAAAATTATTCACAAAGTTTGAAAAGCTATTCGGGCAATTGGTGAAATATTTCAGATAATTTAAAAAGCTATTCAGACAATTGGCAATATCATTTAGAAAATTTGAAAAGCTATTCGGACAATTGGTAACACAAGGTTTGAAAAGCTATTCGGACAATTTCATTTAGAAAATTGAAAAGCTATTCGGATTGGCGAAATTCTATCGGAAAATTGGCGAAATTATTCACATAATTTGAAAAGCTATTCGCACAATTGGCAAAATCATTTAGAAAATTTGAAAAGCTGTTCAGACAATTGGCAAAATTACTCACAAAATTCAAAAAGCTACTTGAAAAATTGGCAAAATTATTCAGGCAATTCAAAAAGCTATTCAAACAATTCGAAAAGCTGTTTGGATAATTCGGAAAGCCATTTAAACAATTGGAAAGCTATTCGGACAGTTCAGAAAGCTATTCAGACAATTCCCATAACTGCTGGTGACAGTTAGAAATGGTGGCCATGGCTTGGGACTTGCAATAAGATGAGGGTAGCAAAATGGCTGATAATAATTGTTAACAAAGAATCATCATGTAGAATAAACATTAAGGGCATTATTGATAACAGCAAAAACAACAACAATAATGATGGTGCTATATATGTCAATAACTGGATGATTCTTTATGGAAAGAACTGTTTACAAATAAAACCCCAAAACTCAATAGAGATTTTACTAATTAAAGTACTCCTCCTCCTCATACTACTACAGAACAAAGAATAAATAATGTTTAAATAGTCCCCTTCTATTTCTTTCATTATTTTCTATATAACTAGTCCTAGTAATTAACAACAACGACAGTAACGAAATATAAGTACTTTAAAATCATAAGCGATTAAAAAATTAACTCATTGGAACTTACTTGTATAAACGGGGGCGCTCAAGCATGGGTCAGCTGTTGTAGTTGTAGTTGATGTGGTAGATGATGTTGAGGTTGTTGTAGTTGTAGAGGTTGAAGTTGTCGTTGTCGTAGAGGTGGATGTTGTTGTAGAGGTGGACGTTGTCGTAGAGGTGGACGTTGTTGTAGAGGTGGATGTTGTCGTAGAGGTGGACGTTGTCGTAGTTGTGGTTGTATAATTCTGTTCAAGTGAGTTGAGAAACGGGTTAAAATTTCATATAGTATAGTGATACACTTTAGTAAACTGGAAGCCAGAAGTAGGCTATTATCCATAAAAGGTGAATATTTTGTTAGATTTCCAAATGAAAGAGATACGTTCATCTACACATATACTCAAATTATTGAAAAAAGGGTTTCTGCTTGTGCCCCCTTTGCCTTCCGCGGAGGGACACTTGAAGAAATGCCATTTGTACAATCGTCATTTTAATCTCATATTATCGACCACATCCCTTAACCCAAGTCCAAGGTTGGTTGACTGATTTACATAAATGAGATTCTATATAATGCTATGTTGTTTACATGCAGGGATATTTAATAGCTCATTGCTATTTTATAAAGTGCCATGTGCCTGTAACCCAGCTATATCTATATGTAATTACTATATTCTACATACTTCTATAATCTCACATGTTTGTCACATATGTATCTTCACATACATATACATATGCATATACGTCTGACCATTGCTTCATCTGCTTATTTCTCCTTACTACACTAGTTGTCTATCCCTTCCACTAGAGCTATGTATTGATCTAATGCTTGCTTGTTCGTCACCGGTCGTCACATGCTAACAACATGACTTCGATCTTTAGACCACCGTATAGGAGACGAGGCAGACTCCAAGGGAGCCAAGGAGCAACACCTCGCTCCGAGGAGCAGCTGCTCTCCAACATTACTATTCAATAAAGAAGTCAAGACAGAAATATGTAGAATATAGTTATTAGATATAGATATAGCTGGGTTACAGTGCCCCGTATTTCCCTATAGTTTTGAATTTCTAGTTTTGTGACGAAATGTATATTTTAACCATTTGCAGTTTCAACTTCAATGACGGCTGCCATGAAGACTGCTGTGCCCTACATAAATGGAATTAAAAAGTACTATGAGTGGATCTTGGATTCCCCCAGCACCTCAGCAAAAACGAAGCGCAAGGTCTGCTGTTACAAAGGCAATTTCTGTGTGCATGCGTGTGCCCACACACACACCAAAGGGTACCAGTAATTATACTAATAACTAATTCAAGGCAATAATTCTATTCTGAAATAAAACAACAATAATACTGAACTGACATCATAATAACGATGATAACAAAGTAGTAGTCAAAGTTATAAATGACTACTAGCGATGATAATACTGTTAATATGACTACTAGTATTAGCTGTAACAATTTACAATAGCACTAGTAATAACATATATCAGACTTTATAATGCTGCCAGTCTAAATACGTTGTCTCCAGTTACCATACAATTTATTTTTTAAATTCATTTGCTCTTTTTCTATATGTAAATATCATATTAATATTATTAATATTATTATTATTATATCTTACTTTTCCCTGTAAAAATAATGATTGTAAAGAGATTGATGAAGATGAAATCAATAATAACTCCAATAACTACAAAAACAATAACAATAATATCATTAACAATAATAAAATGAACAAATTAAAAAACTATCAACTTACGCAGTTTAGCGAGATAGCAAGGTTGAAGCCGATGTTCACTTGCGAGAAGTCAGAGGAGAACTGCACAGTGAGCGAGTTGCCAAAGACGGCGGGCAGGGGCAGCACCCCAGCCTTCCCACAGTAAGAAGACCTGGAAGGCACAGAAGGGATAGAAAGGAGTGTTGCTTCTGGCCAAATGTGGGCTTTGTGTGCCTTGGAACAAATTATTTTGCTTCAGAATTCAAGCACACACAAACACACAACCATGCATGAACGCACATTCACACACACTCCCACTTACCCCCACACCCACACAGTCACATACTTATAGATGAATAACCGATACATAGCAAATAGACCATAACAACCAGCAAACATCCAAGGAGAGAACAGGCGACATTCATTGGCTTACGTGTACATCCCATCAGTAAGGTTCAGAATATCGTAAGGGCATCTCTCGAGGGAAATATCGCAGAACTGCAGCACAATCTGGCAGACAGAAGGCGCAACGACGCTCAGGGAACAGGCGGTGTTGTCTTCGTAAGGGAGAGGGTAGTTCGGACTGTGGATCTGCAAGCAGTCTCCCTCAGCTAGCGTGATTGGGCCTGTTCCATTGCAGACCGAGACTGGGAGATGAAAAAAACGAAATAAAGAGATAATTGCATTGAAGAAATGAATATGTCAAAGTATAGGCAAAGGTTTTGATTAGAAAATGAATGTACATTTTGGTGGGTTGGTACGCAGAACATATTACTTACGAATGGACTGCACTCCTCGGGGACAAAAACTCACTTACTCCAGCCGGGAATTCTGGGAGTAGGGGAGGGAGGGGGGGGGGATTCGGTAATTTGGGGATTCCTACATATATCCAACCTTGCAATGACTGTTCTTTGTTCCAATTACTCACGGTGTAATATGCGTGAATCATTGCAAATGACAAATTCAGAAAGTAAGAGTAGTTATCTCCTGTAAAATGTTGCCTCTCTTCACACATTATGTACGAGGTGAGACATTACGCGATAAACAGTACGAGCAATAATTATAGTTATAAACGTTGGCAATGCTGTTTGTTGACCTCAACGAGGCATGTGCCATGTTCACTCACGGAACACGGCTTTCAGTACTTTTGTTTTATCGTTTAATTTCACTGGGTTGTTAATTAGTGAATAAGAGCGTAACTATTGAAAAACTAACGACTCACATTTTATAATGCTAACAATGCAACAGAAAAGAATGAGACAACTATCAGTCATGAACTTTGTTGTTTTAGGTCACCTTAAAAACTAAATGAACTTTGTCCACGCTTGTTGAGTTCGTGGCCATTGTCATGACACCTGTCAACTGTCCTAAACAAAGATTCAGAAGCTCGTATCTTCTTGCATGAGCAAGTACACATCAAGCTTCAACCACCCAATCAAATTAACAGAGGCTATAAATAAATCCTTTTTCCAGAAATATATAATCGAAAATTCCCTAAGGTTACTAGATGGGAAAGCTATCAGATTTGAAGTAATTGATTTGACAAAAATAGGACCTTTGAATGAAATAAGATATCTCGGCAACTGGAAAGTCATATGTAAACAACCAGCTTCAAACAAAAATCAGGGTTGCACATAAGGTACAATATCCGCAGTAGAATTGGATATAAACATTAAGGAAATCAGAAAATTATGGGGACCAGATACACAAATAAAAGAAATAACAAGAGGGATCAAATCAAAGTATCTGGACAATACAAATGGGTACCAACAAAATCTTTAAAATTAAACTTAAGAGGTCCACGCAGAAACCAAAAATGCAAAGAAATAATAAAACTAAGAAATAAAGCATTCAACAAACGGAGAAAAAAAATTTGAGAAACAACTGAAAAAAAAAAAAAAAAAAAAAAAAAAAAAAAAAAAAAAAAAAAAAAAAAAAAAAAAAAAAACTACCAATTACAGCAAGAAATACAGTAGAGACAGCAAAAAGAAATAGCTGGATAAATTTCTGCCAATCCCTAGACTAATACAGCAACTAGAAAATCCTGGAATTTTATTTTAAAACTTGCTGTTAACAATAAAAACAATAATTATTTACTAATTCATAATGGCCAACAAGTTCAAGAAACCAAACATGAACTAGAATTGCAAACAGAAGAATTTCAAGGAATAAACATAAAAACTAAATGTCTGATAACAAAAACTAAATTTAAAAATATAACCGAACTACGAAGCACGAGAGGTTGAAGTACCTCTCCTGAAATAATCTCAATAATTACAAATGCAAAAAATTAGTAGAGCCTATAGTCTAGATGAAATTCAAAATAATTTTTTCCAAAATCTTCCCAAATGAAGTATTAGAAAAAATATAAATTTTGTTTAATCATTTCTGGATAAAAGGAGAGTATCCTCCAGAATTTATAAAATCATTAGTGAATCCAATTCTTACTCCAGGTAAAGACTCAAACGACAAAAAATCCTACAGATTTACAAGCAGAATAACATGCATAGGAAACAATTAATCTGGTGGCTAGAAAATGACAAAGTGAAGACCTAACAGGATTTAGACCAAATAGTTCAACAATTGATACAATACACATAATTGACTTCCATATCAACAAAGCCTTCAAAGAGAAAAAAAATAAGCTCAGATCACAAGCCTAGATTTAGAGAAAGCATTTGATACCGTCTACCATGATGCAAATATAAAAAGCAGCAAAACCGGGAATAACTGACACCCCACTCAAATGGACTCATAGCTTCTTAAACGACAGATCTTATCAAATAACAATATGAAACAAGTCTGCTGAAGAGAAAATAACAAGAGGACTACCACAAGGTTCACTTTTAAGTCCTTTGTTATTCAACATCATGACAACGGATCTAAGCCCGACACAAAAAGCAAACAAAGTAATATATGCAGATGACATCATAATAACCCATCAAAACCTAGAAGATAAAAATAACTTAGAAACAGGATTAATACAAATCATAGAATGGGCCAATAACTGGGAGCTAACAATAAACCTAACAAAAAGTAAAGTAAAGGTCTAGAGTTTGATGCTCCAAAACCAACCAGGAAATACCACATCAATTACTCAAAACCTAAAATAGAATAAGGTTCATCTACCATCAGTCTTTGGTGCTGCTAATAACACAGCAATGAAAAAAATAGAAATCATACAAAATAATGCAATGAGAATAGCCACAGGCTGTTTAAAAACCACCCCAGTAGCTGCATTATACACTAACAAATAAGCTGCCCATCAAAAATAAACTAAAAAAAACAAGAGTATACCCAAATGCTACTAGAAAAGCCAGAACCTACATAAAATGAAAGTTGAGTGCTGATATGCAAGGTATATTTTCGTCATTTAGCAGTGACTATGAGGCCACTGCAGCTTAAACTGTTATATCCCATTCTATTTTTTCTGCTCTGTAAGACGGCAGTGTCTTAACTACGCACGTCACTCTTAAGTAACTTGTACCTTAATCCGAAAGGGAAGGGCGAAGGGAATGGATGAAATCGCCCAAAACAATAAAACGAGAAGTGGAAAAAAAAAATTCGAGCCAAGCTTCGGTCACGGATGATTCGAATCGGTTTCGCTCACGAGGCAACGAACGAACCCCTTCCTAAACCCACAAATTACTACATGCAACGCCGCGTGAATCAAAATCCTTACGGACTCGACCGACTTCATAAAAAAAAAGCTCAGTATATGCTCTAAATATGCAAAATGAGTTTACCATTTGGTTGGTGGGGACCGGTGGGCATGGGAAGTTGGGGAAGGGGGGGGGGGCGGTGAATCTATGATTTCCGTTGGGTATGTGCAGCTACAATACGGTTATCACACATCACATAATTTAGTATTATTCCTGGGACTGAGCGGAGGGCTATAGATTCAGCATAAAGAACTAATTTTCACCGGAATAATGTGAAAAAGTAAGAAACGGAAAGCAACACTCAACAATCTTGACTTCTGGAAGGCGCAATGAGTACTGGGACCAACTGTTAAATATGCCGGTAGATGGCAGCGTATGCCCATTGTATATTTGTATTATTAAAAAAAGGCAGAAAATCTACATAAGCATACGCATTATGTGGTACACAATAGGAATATAAATTCAAGAAATTTGTATTTTGATGTATTGCGATTAAAAAATAGAAATAGAGAAATACATTAGATGTACAGTGTCTTTTTAAGAGAGTTACAATGGCAGGTCATGAATTTAAAACCTAATCTGGCGGTACTTTTTGATTGCTCATATATTTTGATATAATAAATGAGTGTATCTTATTCCTCCTTTGACATTTTCTTCATATCTCGATTAGGTCATACCTAAGATATATGTTCAGACTGATATAAAAGTAAGAATAGATATACAATACATTACGTGTGTGTGTGTGTGTGTGTGTGTGTGTGTGTGTGTGTGTGTGTGTGTGTGTGTGTGTGTGTGTGTGTGTGTGTGTGTGTGTGTGTGTGTGTGTGTGTGTGTAGTGTGTGTCATGTGTCATGTGTGCGTGTGCGCATGGAATGAGGAAAGCTCATAACACACAAGACTAGAATTGAATACTTAGACATCAAACCTAGGAAATGTCATTCTGAAACAAATAAACTAACCTGAATTTTCTGCGCAGGGACAAGTCGGGACTGGCCAAGCTGTCGGGCAAAAGATATGCTGTTAGTAGCTGCTGTCACAGTTCATTTTCTCAAACGCACACATACACACACACACACACACACACACACACACACACACACACACAGCAGAAGGTTACTGCACTTTAAAACAACTGGGAAAAGATATAGTAAAATTACTTGAAATGATATGTAAATTTGACTGATTTTTTTACATTTTAAAACTTTATCAATATCTCAGTATTAACAGAACGGCGGTAATGTAGATATGAAATTGCAAATTGTTTGCAAAAAGGTTAGGATTTGGGAGATACAAACATTGGGACCCCCCTCTTCTCTCATCTCTTTTTACTTTTTTTTTTTTAGCTATTTGCGGGGGTTTGACGAATATAGAGATACTTCATACCTCGTGCTGTTACTATTAGCCAGCCTTTCATTTAGAATTAGAATAATAAAATGAATTGAGGGATGTGGAATGCTTAGTATTATCTAAATACTAATATGCATACATACATACTAACGGTTGACATGCAAGGTAAGGTGATGGCATCAATTACCATCATAGTTTCCACTCTATCAATCAAATTAAAAAAGTTAATTCCTTGGCAAGAAGTTTATTTACATTTATACTCAAAAGAATTTCTAATAGTTATCCAGAATTTTCTTTGGTCCATTTTCTACCAAACGTTTTCTATGATAATGGAAAGGGGGTACTCGTAAAATTTAAATAGGAGCACTATCCCGAGAAAGTAAGACCATCATCATATTATTAGTTTGATACACTAATGATGTAAAGACATTGAACGTATATGAAGGACAGTATTGAGAAGTATATGACAGTGCGAGAAAATTAAAATATTTGATCTTCAAATGTTGCAACATTTAAAACTTTTCTAATACACACAGACTACATTTGATACGATACAAAAATTTCTGCAGATTTTTATATAGATATTTTACCAGCCACACAACCAAACACACTTCTCTTCTTCTCTCTCTCTCTCTCTCTCTTTCCCTTCTCCCTCTCCTCCCTCCCTCCCTCCTCTCTCTCTCTCTCTCTCTCTCTCTCCCTCCCTCACAAAAACCCACCTGGGAGACAACAGAAGCACATCTTCCCTCCACACATCCTATGCCTCGTCCTGCCGCTGGGACACAGGGACTTCCTCGGCACGCAGTACCCCGACCTGACTTGACAGCTGGCCTCCTCCCACCGCGGGCGCAACACCACTGGTTCGTCGTCGAGCAGTAGTTCACCAGCCGCTGCTTCCCCGTGCAGCCGGCAGGGTCCGACAGCCAGAAGCCACGGTACCAGCGGAGGCATTTTCGGTTGCTGCAAGGTCCTGGTTGAGACGGTCGTGGCGTGAGGCTTGGAAGGGGTTTGTGTTTTGTTGTAGAGTTGCGGCGATATTGTGAAAGGGATGGAGAGACAGACGGGAAGATAAATAGAGGGGGGGGAGATAGATAGAAGGAAGCCTGGGGAGGGAGAGAGAAAGGGAGGAGAGAAGAGAAGAGAGAGAAGAGAGAGAGAGAGAGAGAGAGAGAGAGAGAGAGAGAGAGAGAGAGAGAGAGAGAGAGAGAGAGAGAGAGAGAGAGAGCAGATCGAGAGACCAGATAGAAGATAAATAGACAAGAAGAGAGAAAAGAAAAACAAAAACGCCAAAAAAATAAATAAAGAGAAAACAAACACACGCACACCAAAGAGACCAACGCAGAAAGAGAGACGACGAACCCGAAGGCACTCACTGACTCTCAGGCCGATCTCGAACCCGTCCAGCTCCAGCGCGCGGGCGAAGGCGTTCAACCCCGAGGGATTGCAGCACACAGCGGGTCCGTCTTCGCAGGCCGAGGCAGCCGCTGAGGGCGACCTGCAGCTTCCGGCAGACACGCAGCTGCCACCTTCGGCTCGACATTGCGCCGTGGATTTGCGGGATGCACCAGTTGCTCCCTGTGTTGGCAGAGAGAGAGAGAGAGAGAGAGAGAGAGAGAGAGAGAGAGAGAGAGAGAGAGAGAGAGAGAGAGAGAGAGAGAGAGAGAGAGAGAGAGAGATAGAGAGAGACGCGTAAGAGATAGATAGATCGCGTGGGAGAGATGATGGGGAAGAGGGAGAGGGAGAGAGGAAGGGAAAGAGGGAGAGGGAGGGAGGAAGGGAAAGAGGAGAGGGAGGGAGGAAGGGAAAGGGAGAGGGAGGGAGGAAGGGAAAGGGGAGAGGGAGGGAGGAAAGGGAAAGAGGGAGAGGGAGGGAGAAGGGAAAGAGGAGAGGAGGGAGGAAGGGAAAGAGGGAGAGGGAGGGAGGAAGGGAAGAGGGAGAGGAGGGAGGGAAAGGAAAGAGGGAGAGGGAGGGAGGAAGGGAAAGAGGGAGAGGGAGGGAGGAAGGGAAAGAGGGAGAGGGAGGGAGGAAGGGAAAGAGGGAGAGGGAGGAGGAAGGGAGGAGGGAGAGGGAGGGAGGAAGGGAGAAGGGAGGGAGGGAGGGGGAGAGGAGAGAAGGGAGGAAGGAGAGGGAGAGGGAGAAGGGAGAGGGAAGAGAGGGAGGAAGGAAGAGGGAGAGAGAGAGGAAGGAAAGAGGGAGAAGGAGGGGGAAGGGAAAGAGAAAGAGAGAGAATATAGAATAATAATAATAATGATAATGATAATAATTTAGTTGAATTCCATTTGTTACAATGGATATTCTTTCTCTTGATATGCTATCTGATTATTTGCTTCTAAATCTCCCCCTGTGTGCAAGGAATGGCCGGTGTTGACCATCCACTGGCAGAACGCGAGTTAAGATTGCTGCACTACACTACACAAAAGAGACAGGAAGAGAAAGAGAAAGTGCGTGAATGGGAGAGAGAGACAGAGAAATATAAAGAAAAAAAATCAGAAAGAGAAACAAAACAAAAAAAGAGACAGGAAGAGAAAGAGAAAGTGAGTGAATGAGAGAGAGAGACGGAGAAATATAAAGAAAAAAAATCAGAAAGAGAAGAGACAAAAAAAAGAAAGAAAAGAAAAGAAAACCATCCACCCCCTCATCATCACCATTCCTCCATCCACTCTTCTATCCCTTCCTACCCCCAACCCAACCAAGAACCCCCCCTTCCCCCTCACCCCCCCCACTCACCTCTCTTCCTGCTACCAAAATGACACGCAACTAGAAGTGCAACGGTCGATCCAGCGTAAATATTCATGCCTTTGATGAAAATAAGAGAGAAATTACGTGAATGGGGATATTTGCGATAAATAGAGGGAATAGGGAGAAAGCAATGATAACAGGAGGGAAGCGAGCATTGTGATGAATAGAGGGAATGGGGAGACAGCGGTGATAGAAGTGAAGGGATATTTGCGATAAATAGAGGGAATAGGGAGAAAGCAATGATAGGAGGAGGGAAGCGAGCATTGTGATGAATAGAGGGAATGAGGAGACAGCGGTGAGAGAAGTGAAGGGGATATTTGCGATAAATAGAGGGAATAGGGAGAAAGCAATGATAGCAGGAGGGGAAGGAGCATTGTGATGAATAGAGCGGAATGAGGACAAACAAGGCGTGAGAGGGAATGTAGAAGTGAAGGGATATTTGCGATAAATAGGGGGAATAGGGAGAAAGCAATGATAGCAGGAGGGAAGCGAGCATTGTGATGAATAGAGGGAATGAGGAGAAGCGCATGATAGGAAGGAGAGAAGTGAGAGAAGTGTGATGAATAGTGGGGGAGATGAGAGCAATGAAGGGATTTTTTGCGATAAAATAGAGGGAATAGGGAGAAGAGCAATGATAGCAGGAAGGGAAGTGAGCATTGTGATGAATTGAGGGAATGAGGAAAGAGAGCATGATAGAGGAGAAAAATGAGCATTGTAATAAATAGGGGGTATGAGGAGAAAGCGATTATAGAAGGAGAGAAGTGATCGTCGCAATAAATAAAGGGAATGAGGAGGAAGCGTTTATAGAAAGAGAGAAGTGAGCATCGCAATAAAGAGGGAATGAGGAAAAAGCGATTATAGGAGAGAAGTGAGCATCGCAATAAATAGAAGGAATAACGAGAAAGCAATGGCAGATTACGAGAAGTGATCACGGTAATAAATAGAAGAAGAAAAATGGAAAAAAAAGCAAAGTAAAAAGAAGAACCGAAGATACATTGCAAACTCAACTGCACGAGATTGCAATGCATCATCCAATATAATTAGGACAAAGAATCTATTTTTTTCCTTTCTCATCTTTTCACGAATTCCATGTTGCCTTTTAAATCCTAGCCATGATTCCTTCCATTTTTCTCTCTCTCTCCATCTTGATCGTTATTCTCTGAATATCTTTTCAAAAACAAAAATCCCTTTTAAATCCTAGCCACGATTTCTTCCATTTTCCATCTCTCCATCCTTCTCTTCTCTGAATATCTTAAAAAAAAAATCCCTTTTAAATCCTAGCCACGATTTCTTCCATTTTCCCATCTCTCCATCCTCTCTTCTCTGAATATCTTAAAAAAAAAACAAAAATTCCTATTTAAATCCTAGCCATTTTCTTCCATTTTCCCATTCTCTCCTCCTTCTCTTCTCTGAATATCTTAAAAACAAAAATCCCTTTTAAAATCCTAGCCACGATTTCTTCATCTTTCCATCTCTCCCTCTTTTATTCTCTGAAATATCTTAAAAAAAAATCCCTTTTAAATCCTAGCCACGATTTCTTTCATCCATCTCTCATCCCTTCTCTTCTCTGAATATCTTAAAAAAAAAAAAAAAAATTCCTTTTAAATCCTAGCCACGATTTCTTCCATTTTCCCATCTCTCCATCCATCTCTTCTCTGAATAATCCTTTAAAAAACAAAAAATACCTTTAAATCCTAGCCATAGATTTTCCTCATTTTCCCCATCTCTCCATCATCTCTTCTATGATATCTTGAAAAAAAAATTCCCTTTTAAATCCTAGCCACGTTTTTTCCATTTTCCCACTCTCTCCATCCTTCTCTTCTCTGAATATCCTTAAAAAACAAAAATCCCTTTTAAATCCTAGCCATGATTTCTTCCATTTTCCCATCTCTCCATCCATCTCTTCTCTGAATATCTTAAAAAAAAAATCCTTTTTAAATCCTAGCCACGATTTCTTCCATTTTCTCATCTCTCCATCCTTCTCTTCTCTGAATATCTTAAAAAAAAAACGAAAATCCCTTTTAAATCCTAGCCACGATTTCTCATTCCCAATCTCTCCATCCATCTTCTTCTCTGAATAATCTTAAAAAAAAAAAAAAAATTCCTTTTTAAAATCCTAGCCACGATTTCTTCCATTTTCCATCTCTCCATCCTTTTCTCTTCTCTGAATATCAAAAAAAAAAAAAAAAAATCCTTACTTACTTTTTTGACATCTCATCTTTATATTTCAAAAACGGGAAAAATTAGTTTTAACCTTTGCCTCTAATAGGGGAAAAAAGTCCGCGGTATTTGCATAATGTGATATATGGCACCTGTACTGTCATACTTAGCCTGTAAAAGTCAAGTCAAGGTAAATTTGTAATTTTTTTTTTTTATCAGTTTGCGCGAAGAAAAACGCGTTCGGTTTAGTTTGATTTTTTTTTTATCATTGGGAGAGTAAATATTATGGAGGGAAAGGTATTGTAATTACAGTAACATATCTAAGCTGCATTTAGGAATAAAGGTAAATTAATAAATTGGTAAGTATACAAATGAATAGATGAAGAAATTAAGAATGAATACATACACACACACCACACACACACACACACACACACACACACACACACACACACACACACACACACACACACATACACACATATATAATATATATATATATATATATATATATAGATAGATAGATAGATAGATACACACACACACACACACACACACGCACAAACACACACACAAGCACACACAACAACACACATACATATATATATATATATATATATATATATATATATATAATTATAATATATATGTATTATATATAATATATATATATATATATATATATATATATATATATATATATATATATATATATATATATATGATCATACATATCATATATATATATATATATATATATATAATATATATATATACATATATATATATATATATATATATATATGTATATATATATGTTTGTATGTGTGTGATGTGTGTGTGTGTGTGTGTGTGTGTGTGTGTGTGTGTGTGTGTGTGTGTGTGTGTGTGTGTTGTTGGTGTGTGTGTGGTGTGTGGTGTGGTAATTGCAGAATACTTTATAACTATATCTAAAGTTCGATCTGGAGTCCACGTATCTATTTGCTAATTGTAACTAATTAAATTTACTCCAAATAAAGTAAAGACGGATAGCAATAAGGTTCATACAAACATCACTGCTTATAA